CATTGATGTTGTTGTGGTCAAGTGCTGTTGAGTCGATTCCGACCCAAAGCAACCCTGTATAGGGTTTCAAAAGAGCAGCTGGTGAGCTTGAACTGCTGATCTTGCAGCTCAAACAGCTTTGCAGTCAGGCGCATTAACCCACAGCACCACACTAGGACTCCTCTCCATTGATGATAATGTTGTTTATAGGTTCAGTGATGAGGATTTTTGTTTTCTGTACATTTTCCATAGTTTTGTTTATATTTTCCTTAAGATCATCTGTAGTTTTCTCGATCTTTCTCAGTCTATTAAAGTTGCCTAATTAGGATTCTTTTAAATTCCTTATCAGGCAGTTCCTGTAGCATTTCTGGTGTTGCATTTTCTGACTCTACTTTGATCACTTATTTGAGGCTCTCTATCTTGTTTCTGTATGTAAACTGAAAATGTCTGTTTTCTGTGAGACATTATGGTGGTGTATTTATATTTAGTTGATGACTGTATATTGGTGTGTTCTCAGATCTCCTGGTGGATGTGGTAGAGAAAAGTGGGAATGCAGTTCTCTGTTCACTGTTGGGTTTTTTTTTTTCTTTCTTTCAGTTTTTTATTGTGAATGGAGTGAAGGTTTATTGACAAGATCATCAGCTTTACATTCAACAGATCATACACTTTGTTTCATTTCAAAAATTATAATCCCCTCTATGCAACAACAGTTGTCCTGCTTACTTCCTCTAGTTCCTACTTCCATTCCACCCAACTTCTCATCCCTCCTCAACTTTGTTCTTAGGAAAATGTTGCACTTTTGATTTTGAATGATTGACCATTCCATGGTGAGCATACCCTACTAGTATTGTTATTCCCTCCTATAAATCTATCTACTGCTTGGCTGATATTGGACCAAGAGGTTCTTTTCCAGACCTGAAAGGTGGTCAGGGGCCATAGTCTCAGGTGCTTCCATTCTATTTCTGACTAGTAAAACTGGCCTTTTTAAATTGTTATTTTTAAATAGTTTTGTGTTTTGTTCCACATTTTCTTCTACTCTATCCAGGACCCTCTAATGTGATCCCTTTCTGAACAGTTGGTAGTGGTAGCCTGACACTGTTAAGTTATTCTGGTTTCAGAGTTGTGAAGACTGATGTTCACACGTTCCATCAGTCTATTGGACTAATTGATTCCAAGCCTCTTCTATTCTTATTACTCTGAGACCAATAACTTATTACTGTGAGACCAAAAGTTCATGAGCTTTCAATGAAAGGAGCTCTGGTAGCATAGTTATGAGTCGGGCTTCTAGTCTCATGGTCAGCAGTTCGAAACTACCAGTGGTTCCATGGAAAAAAAATGAGGTTTTCTGCTCCTGTTAAGATTTACAGCCTTAGAAACCTTATACAGGTTCACTATGAGTTGGAACCGACGCCATGGTGCATAACCATCAACCATCACTCTCCCAGGTAGAAAGCAGGACATTATCTTTGTGAACTATGTTATGCCAGTTGACTATGGTGTCCCCTGAGACTATGGTCCTGAGTTCCCAGGCCAGCTCAACAACTCATTGCCTTAAGATATTTGATAATAATCTAGAAAGATTTCATCATTTTGCTTGCTGTGTGTTCTACCATATTCACAGTTGTGTTTGCAGGAAAGTTAAATACTCATGTGCAAATATACTTTTTCAAGTTCTTATATATTTGTGGGATATGTGTGTATATATATATATCCCTTACCCATTCAGCCTACATCTCATTCCTTGTTTCTACACACAGAACACTGTTGTTCCAAGGTTGCGTATATATACATCACCACGTACCTTCATCCCCTTTAACCCTTGCATACCTCCCTGTGTCTTCATCATTCTTCTGCCAACCTCCCTCTTCTTGTATTTTGCCCTCCTTATCACCTGAGATGTGGCATGTTGTGGGTTAATGTACTGGACTGCAAAGTTGGTGGTTCAAGCTCATGAACTACTCCTCAGAAACCCTATGCAGAGTCAGTATGAGTTGGAACCAACTCGACGGCACTTAACAACAACAATCACCTGAGCTAACATGTGTCTACCCTGCAATCAATTACTCTCCCCTCCCTCCCACCCCTGGTAACCATCAAAGAATGTTTTTGTTTTTTTTTTAAATTAAATGTTTTTATTTTGCATTGAGTGAAAGTTTACAGGGCACATCATCAGCTTCACATTCAACCATTCATATAGCTTGTTTCATTACATTGATTATTATCCCCGCTATATATCATCAGTTTACAGTGTTTCTCTCTATCCTCTTTAGCTTTTTTTTTTTTTTTTTGGATGGGGGGGGACTTGGCTTATTGGAATTTACAGTCTCGGCTTTTAGGGGAGGTTTTTACATTTGTCTGTGGATATCCAGGGCTCACGTATGAGATTACTAACAAGCATTACTGAATAATCAGATGAGGGACAGTTTGTTATGTCTACTAGGTGGCTAGAGTCTGATCCTCAGAGCCTATGGTTTGGACGGTCAACAACGCTTGGGCCCACAGGGGCTTGGCCTCCTGACCGGGTCTGTGCTGTCTGCATCTGAGTCCTCCTTATTTATTGATTGTTTAAGGGACGCTGCCTGTCTTAGGTGGTCAGTGCGAATTCCTCAGTCTTACCAGTCATTGAGACTCATTGCAGCATGGCAATGTCTCTGTCTTAAGTAGCCGAGGTTCCACGTGATCCTTACCCGTCTCTGGCCACACGTCCAGCATAAACAGCCGCCATCCGAGGAAGGCAGGGAGGGAGGAGATCAGCTGGGGACCCCATGTGCCTGATGTTGCCAGCCCACCACCTGCTCTAAGGTGACCAAGCAGGATCACTATGCTGAGGTTCAATCCAGTTCCTAGGGGATCTTATTCTCTAGCATGGGTAGCAAATGGGTAGCCACGCAGTGTTCACTTTGAGAATTACTTATATCATAAAATTGAGCGTGTAGCTGATGAATATCCCCAGACAAGTGTATATTGTTCCACAACCTCCTACAATGCTGTTGGATTAAGTTCCAATTAATTTCTGGGTTACTGAAAGATAACACAAATCTACTTATACCTTGGGTAACCTTAGCTGGGAGTGTAGTCTGGATATATTGGGTCTTATTTCCCTTAAGCGGTCTTCCTTTCTCTAAAGCATTTAGCCTGTTTTGTGAGCCTTTGTCTATTTACTCTCAGATCATATGAGCGAGACTAATGTCCCTAGACATTTGATTTACATGATGGGCAGGGCAAAACAAAGAATGTTTTTTAATATGAAAACCTTTTCTTAAGTTTTCACAATGGTGTCATACAATATTTGTCCTAAATTCACAATGGTTTCATAGTCAACATTTGACTAAATTCACTAAGCATAATATTCTTCAGGTTCATCCATGTTATGAGGTGTTTTGCAAATTGATTATTCTTCTTCAGTATTGCATAGTATTCCATTGTGTGTATGTCCCAAAGTTTATTTGTCCATATTTCCATTGTTGGGCACTTAGCTGTCTCCATCTTTTTGTTATTGTGAATAGTACTGCAGTGCACATCAGTGTACATATATCTACTCGTCTGCTGGTTCTTATTTCTTGTGCATCTGTACCAAGTTGAGAGATTGTTGGATCATGTGGTATTTCTGTTTCCAACTTTCTAAGGATGCACCATACCATTTTCCAGAGTGGTTGAACCATTTTACAGTCCCACAGTATTGTAGGAGGATCCCAGTCTCTCCACACCCTTGCCAATGTTTTCTGTTTTTTTGAACTTTGCTATTAATGCTGGTGTGAGATGATATCTCATTGTTGTTTTGATCTGCATCTCTGTCATGGCTAATGATCACGAACATTTCTTCATATGTTTGTTAGCTGCCTGAATGTCTTCCTTGATGAAGTGTCTGTTCATGACCTGTGCCCATTTTTTAATTAGGTTGTTTGTCTTGTTCTTACAGAGGTGTTGTAGTTTTCTATAAATTTTAAATATTATTTCCTTTTCTGATATGTCATTGCAAAAGAGTTTTTCCCATTCTATGGGCTCCCTTTTTATTCTTGATGAAGTCTCTAGATACTCATAAATGTCTAATTTTTAGGAGTTTCCAGTCATTTATATTGTCTTCTCATGTTTATGTGTTTCTTATAATGTGTAGTAGTGTACTGATGTCAGGTATTAGACAAGTTTTTCCCTATTTTTCCATTAGTGATCCTTTTAGCCCTAGGCTTTATTTACATTTAAGTCTTTAATCCATGTTGAATTTGTTTTTGAATATGGTGTGTGATATGGGTCTTTTTTCATTCTTATGCAAATGGATTTCCAGTGTGTAGATAAATATTATTTCTTTAAATATCCAGAAGTAGAATAACTGGATTAAAGAATATACATTTTTAATGGATTTTGGTGCATCTTTCTAAATTGTCCACTAGAATGACTGTAACATTTATTCCAAAGACCTTCTTTGTACATAGTGGAAGTAGAATAATATTGTTTGGAGCTCTGGTAGCATAGTGGTTACGAATCAGGTTGTGAACCGCAAGGTTAGCAGTTCAAAACTACCAGCTGCTTCGCGGGAGAAAGATGAGGCTTTCTGCTCCTGTAAAGATTTACAGCTTAGGAAACCCTGTTCAGGGTCGCTATGGGTCGGAACCGACTCAACAGCACTTAACAACAACAACAAAAATAACTTTGGTGTTAAAATTATTTATTTAGTTCATATAAGTTTAGAAATTAGTTTGTAGTCACAGTGTGTTTACACATTTGTGTGCACATGTGTTTTTGTGGGTGTGTATGAGGCAGTCTTATCCTGTGGGAAGAAAAAAATTGTTTAACATAATTTATCCAGGTTACTATAGATACTGTAAGAATTCTTAAGTGATAGAATGAATTTTGTAACTTCATAAATGTAAAAGAAAGGAGGGGTGTAGTTAAAGATTATATTGATATTTTAGGATGGGAGCTAAAATCATTTAAAATCCATAAGACTACTTAGGAGCTTCTCTGTAATACAATTTATAACTCTAACTGTATGACTGTCTATGATCTTTCTTGAGTTTGACACATTTCTGCTGATATTTGTTAAATGTGGGTCCAAATTAATTAATTAGTAAAAATTTTTATTTGAATTAACATTGTTCCTGAGGTTATTGGCAGTTAACTGGTTAAGTCAGTTTCTAGGAGGTGGGTCTTTTAATTTGGGTGTTCACTGACACTGTTAAGAATCTTCAGACATTTGAGAAACCCACAGACATTTGGCTGTAACTTTAGTAGATTTTTAGTCATGTTGAAGCCTGTCTTTGGACTTAAGCTAAATAACTCATATTCTAGAGACTCCTTTTGCTAGGAACTTGAAGTGAGCCTATGGGGCTTGCCAAAATAGAGAGTGCATAAGATAAATAAAGTACATATGAGGTTTGTTTGAGGTGTAATCTGATTTCACTTTTATGGTAAAAAGTTAGTTTTGTGTTTCTTCTGGTATCTGTAAAACGTTACTAACATTACCACATTCACAAAAATACCTTTTAGTTGTGTGCCCATTGAATCAATTCTGACTGAGAGTGACCCTGTAGGATGTAATACAACTGTCTCTAGGGTTTCCTCGGTTATTATTTTTATTGAAGCAGATTACCAGAGCTTTTCTCCCATGGAACAGCTTGGGGGGCTCAGACTTCTTGCTTAGTAGCAAAGTGTTTAACCTTTGCACCACCAGGACATTACTTCACTTATAAAAGCATTGTATGGTTTCACATAATTAAATTAAATAGGGTAATAAATTAGATTTTTCCAAATATAAATTTTAATGTGCTGTTTTTCATTGTAATAGTGTTAGAATTTTCAAAGAATTCACTGAATTATTTATCTTTGGAAATGTAGGAACCAATGATGCCCATGGACCAGTCTTCCATGCATTCAGACCACCCACAGACAGGTAAGAGCAATGCTGGCATACACTGTTGTTCATTAACAAAGTAGCATGCAAGCCCTTCTTTTGGTGGTGTTTTGTTTTTCCCAAATAAGAGTAGGTAGACATATTCTGTAGTGGTATTATTGGTCCAATACTAAGCATACCCAGTTGGCATTTTAAAATATCTTTGTGTAAACTAAAACAAAATGAGTTCTTTCTAGTTCAGATAAATTTCTTTTGAAATCCCTTTAAGTTCAGCAAACTTGGGTTTTTTCCCTCCCCTAAATAATGAGAACATATGAAGTTGCTCTTGTAGACTTAGTTAGTATACTAACTTAGTATATAACCATACTAACAGGGTCCAAGTGATTTGTTTTTATTAACAGTTTTTTATTACATGTAGAAATTATGTAAAAGATAAACATCAGTCACATGAATTAAATATCAAATATGTACAGAACTTTAAATACTTCTCTAGAAACTTTGGAGGTCAGCTAGAGGAGGCAGAGCTGACTCAGGAAAAGGAGAAGGCAAGGGAGTTTTTCTGGAATGACAGAATGTAGTCTTGGAAGAAGCAGATTATATGAAACAGGCTTTTCTGCTCCTGAGTAGTCCCATCTTTGTTAGTTTTTTACTATGTCGTAGTGTGTTGAGTATGAAGAGAGTGAAAAGTCAAAATAAAGTAATTAAATAGTGCTTACACAAAGTTGCCCTTATAGAAGTTGTTTATTTTGTAAAGAGGGGAAATGTTTTTTAAAAAAGGTAAAATACTTTCTAAAACTACTACTTGACTACCAGGTTTGTCTTTGCTGTCTAATTTACTCCCTTTAAAGATTACATATAATTTATTACTACTAGGTCAGGAATTTAATTTTAAATAATGAAAACGTTTTCAGAAGTAAAATCAAATTGAGAAAAATTTTATGTTAAATTCATTTAATGAATGCTATGTTGTTTACCTCTATTTTTATGTTTGGGATTGGATTTTTAGTGATTCCATATAATCCTCGAAGTCATGATAGTTTGGATCAAGTTGGTGAAGAAAAGGAGGTAAGATACTTTATTTTATTGTATGCCATTTTATCAGCTTTTTAATAAAGCTTTCCAGCTTAAAAATATGGTAAACTGACCCCCTTACTTCTTGAATCATAGTAGTAAACTACAAAAATAATTTGTAATGATGCCAGAGTTTTATTCTAATTTAATTATTAATTAATTTATTACTTTTAGCTTAAATTAGCACAGAATTTGGTAGGGTAATGTATTTTCATTTTAAGATAACATAATCTAGAAATTATTTTAAGAATAGTATTTAGAATATTTGATAGTATTCTTTGAAATATGGTATATTGTAAACCTTTCTATTTTGTGGGCTAAATGTTTATTTTAAATAAAGTATAAATGATTAAGCATTTTAACTGCCACTGTTCTTTCTGTTAATACATTTTATCAGTCTTTAAAACAAAATTAAAAAATCATTTTGAGTTAAAAATATTTCATGAAAATTATAGTTAATTTTTTGAAGAAAGATGGTAGTGAAAGAGATTAACATCCTTCACACCTACTACTCCTCTTTTGATGCCTCAGAGATAACCCTCTGTAACCATTTCCATTTAATAACCTGTGTTTCTCAATTTTTCTGTTTTATTAATTTCTGGAGATGAAAGATTTCATTACCTCCCCTGTTTTTTCTTTGTGATGTTTGACAATTAAGTGTTACTCTTCTCTTGCTTTTTTAAAAGGAAAACAAAACTTTTTTATTATAGAAAGTTTCAAACATAAATAAAAGTAGTGTTATTCAATGCTGTTGAGTTGGGTCCGACTCATATCTTAGTTTTTTATTCTGTCAAGTTTAGTCAATATTTTGTTTCTCCGTTAACCGTCCTTGCTCTTTCTTCCAGCTTTTCTTTTTATCTATGTATTTATTTCTATGTTGCAAAGATTGTTAACATTTATATTCTGTCCTACGTCTATAAGCAAATCTTATGTTCTTCATAGTTGAACTGATCATTTAAAGGAAGAAATTTCTAATAAGGATTGAATTATCTGTTCTCCTGGAACTATAAGTTGCTAATGTTTCTTTCTGTCTGATGCTTTTTTTATACATTTTTGTTCTTTTTGGGGATTCTTGTTGTCTTTATTATTATTTTTTGATTATTTATCAAAGACTTTAAGATTTTAAATATGTTTTTAAATAGAAGAATAACTACATACAGAAAAGTACACATATCATACGTGTAAGTAATAGCTAGATGAATTTTTCACAAAGTGAAAACTATGTAATGACCATGCAGATCAAGAAATAGGCCCTACCAGTATCCCAGAAGCCTATATTGTTCCTTCTACTCACTAACACTCCTTCTTCCTTTATAGGTTACTGTTGTGTTAACACCACATTAGTTTGCTTTATTTTTCTTAACCTTTTTAAAATGGAATCATATATTATGTGTTCTTTTGTGTCTGGCTTCTTTCACTCAATCTTACCTTGATGAAGTTTAGCCATGGTGTTTTATATAACAATGTTTCATTTTCATTGGCTCCATTTATCTATTCTATGGTTAATATTTTTTCCCTTTCCACTGCAGGGTTATTATGATATACTACTATGAACATTCTTGTAAATATGGCTTGTTAATCTGTTTGGTATATAACTAGGAGTGGAATTGAGTCTTGTGTACATTTAATTGGAATAGATAATACCAAATAATTTTCCAATGTGTTTATATCAGTTTATACTTTCACTAACAATGTATGAAAGTTCTGTGCACTCCATGTTCTTGTCAACACTTTTAATTTTAAACAGTATTTTGAACATGTGATAGCTTATGGTTTTAATTTTAATTTCCTTGATGAACATCTTTTCATATTTAGTGGCCATTGGATATCATCTTTTACAAATTATCTGTTCATATCTCTTTTACTCACTTAGAAAAAATGGGTGCTCGTCCTTTGTCTTACTGATTTTATACTTTTTAAAAAAATATATATTCTCAATATTAGGCTCTTACCACTCGTATATTAGTAATTTCCTAGTCTGTGACTTGTGTTTTAATATTATTTATTTTGTTCTTGTTTGTTGTTGAGAACGTACACAGCAAAACATGCACACCAATTAAGTAGTTTCTACTAACACTGATTGCATTCTTCAAGTTGTGCAGTTAGTCTCATTTTCCTTTTCTGAGTTGTTCTTTCCACATGGACATAAATTTACTGCCCTCTGATAGCGTAGAGGTTACAAATCAAGCTGCTAACCTCAGGGTCAGCAGTTCGAAACTACCAGCTGTTCCACCGGAGAAAGATGAGGTTTTCTGCTCCCGTAAAGATTTACAGCCTTGGAAACCCCGTACAGGGTCACTATGAGTCGGAACCGACTCCACGGCACATAACCACCACTAACCAAAGTTCTTACCAAGGAGCTCTGGCAGTGTAATGGTTATGAGTCAGCCTGATTCCCTCAAGGTCAGCTGTTGGAAACTACCAGCTGCTCTGTGGGAGAAAGACAAGGTGTTCTACTCCAGTAAAGATTTACAGCCTCAGAACCCCTATGCAGGATTGCTGTGAGTCAGAACTGACTCCATGGCACACTGTCACCACCACCATAGTTCTTACCGGTATCCTGGTGTGGTGCTATGGGATAAAGCGCGGGACTGCAAAGCTGGTTTGAACCACAAGGTCAGCAATTCAAGCTCACCAGCCGCTCCTGAGAAACCCTGTACAGGATAGCTGTGAGTCAGAACCAACTCAAAAGGCACTTAATGACAGCAAAGTTCTTACATACTTTATAATAGTATATTCTGATGACCAGATATTTTTTGTTTTTTTAAGGTAGCCCAATACGTCAATCAGCCTTTTCCTCTAGGGTATGTTTTTTGGGTTTTAAGAAACCTCTGCCTTTCTGAAGAACATGAAAATAGTCTCTATATTATTTTCTACAAGTATTATTGTTTTACCTTATACAATTTAGTTATGCAAGCCACCTGAATTTTTATATGTAGTGTGAAGTAGAATAAAAATTTGTTTATTTTTTTATATTCATTTGACTTAAAATCATTTATTGAAAAGATTATTGTTACTCTATAATCTGTGGAAGGAGAAGTTGGAAGAGCTCCATATCATTAGTGAAGACAAGGCCAGGGGCAGACTGTGGAACAGACCATCAATTACTGATATGCAAATTCAAATTGAAACTGAAGAAAATGAAAACACGTCTACGAGAGCCAAAATATGACCTTGAATTTATCCCACCTGAATTTAGAGATCATCTGAAGAACAGATTTGATGCATTGGATACTAAAGACCGAAGACCAGAA